AGCTTCGTATGAAACATTAGGAGAAAAAATGAACAAAGAACGGTAGGTTTTAATGATCGAGACACTCGTCGTTGATTAAAGACGCATTTCGTTTTCTTACATGAAGTGCTCGATAAGTTAAACCTATTACTTTCTGGAAGACTAGAATCTCGAGAGAAATATTATACAATTTCTTATAAAAGTATAACTGTCGATCGTGGTAATTTTGAAAAATATCATGTTTCATCAGATTAAAAATGAGCAAATTTAGTTTAAAGTCGATAGTATTTTAGCCCAAAATATTTTTTTTTTCCAATATTTAAGCGACAATTTGTGATAACTATTGGTACAAATGCTTTATTTTATTATTCTAGATGTATAGTCGATCTCTCATTGTTCAATTATTTTATTGTTCAATTATTTTCTGAATTTTTATTCATTCCACTGACGATGTTGGTAGTCAATGATTCTAATTGATGTTTTTTTTTCTTTTTGAAACTTTTTGGTTTGTATTTTATGAGATATGAATCTAGAACTTTCGAAGTTACAACATTGTTTTGTTTTATTCGAACCACAAGTAGTAAAACCGGGATTTCAATGAAATGTTGGGTTTCGATTAATTAATAACTATATAAGCATTTGTTTGTCAATAGTGTGTCCGCAATATTTGGACCGTAACAAGAGTGAACATATAATAAGTTTATACCAAATGATATCGAAGTGAGGAAGCCAAAAAAAAATGGTCAGAGATAACATCTGCACTGTTGGATGATAGGCTGGATTTGAAAACAGGAGTAAGTGCCCGCTATGCTCTGCAGGCTGCGTTTGCATACAATCTTGCGTGAGCGGAATAACGGTTGCACGGTGAGCCACTCCGTGTCCGTATCTTGCAATGATCAGACAGCCAAAAGAATAAAATGCTCCTCCAGCTTTGGTTTAGCACAAGGTTGTAATAAAAGTTAATGGTTTGAGTTTTATTTTAGCATATAGTTGCACTTAATGTACAAACAGGTTTTTGATAAATATAATGTACTATTAATTTTCTTTTAAAAATGATGAAGCCAAAAATATGAGCTTGATATCAAAGTTTTTTTTTCTTTTTTGAAACACCCATTTCTCAAATCAAAATGGGTGTACCAGACTAATGGAAAGGTACAGACTAATCCGCAAGGAGAATTGCAGCCCACATGATAAATCATCTCTCGAGACATTCAAATGAACTTTAAAACATAGATCCATATCTATATTAGGTGACGTGGAATAATTGTGACATAATTTCGCGCAAAAAGTAAATCAAAACTAAAATTTGTTAGCGTCTTAACTCATACTTTTTTATCACTCGACCACGGTCACCCGATCGATATCAAAGTTATATTATCAATTAGTTTCATCTTTTGGAAAATCCTCTTCGATCAAACTTCCGTCGATTGTTGTATGATCATTTTAAGATTTTAAGTTACATAACCAAGAAAAAAAAAAGAATCATCCCAAGGAGCTCGGGGTATTGTATTTGATATATTCTCGCCGGTCATGCATGAAATGACGGTGTAACTAGCAAGCCAGCAGGTCGAATATGGTTTCAGTTAAATTAGATAAAAAAATATAATTTTATTTTTAACTACTGACAACCACATAAATTAAACAGCATATGTTTCTCATTTCTTACTACTGAAATTTATTGTCTACTTGTGAACGATATGTATCTGAAGGGATCTAATAAAGTAATAATCATGCATATTTCTGGCGACAGCTTTCTAAATAAGTATACACTTAATACAGAAAGTATATCTAAATTATTGGATGATTGAGTATTTCAATGGTAATAAACCTTGTCGCGAGATTAATGGGCATGGTTGGTGTGAAACCCAAATGTGACGTATATAACGAGAGTGTGCACGGGTGACTAATTTGTCGTCGTAACGTTATGTCTCTTTGCATAGATATGCCTACTTTGACTCTCATCACTATAGCTCGCTGCTTTTGTATGCCGTTACCAAGTATGCCTACAAATACAATTTGCGACCAAAAAAAAAATATTAACATAAATCTTTGTAAACTTTAGTTTGACATGATTTACATCTTATATCAATTGCAAATTAATAGAGTAAAAATCTTGTTTGCAAACATAGATACATATACTTTTTCTTTAGTTTACCAAAATATTTCTTTACCCAAATATCTGTGAGATTCCGATTCAAAAGTAATTTCTACAAACTAATATTAAGATAAATATATTCTCTAATGTGGTGTGATACTTCTTTCATTACATTTTCCCTGAAATCAATAAAATTAGCATGCATTATTTAATCTATATACATTTTAATATATATATATATATATCTATATATATATATATATATATAAAGATCTAATCTCTAAACTTTTATTTATTTAAAAAAATATTAAGAGTTGATATTTTCACCATAAAAATATTGTTGGAGTTTCAATATGAAGTCTTACTTATAGTAATGGCTAATTCTTATTATGATCACCGTTGGTGGTTATTGGTAGTAGGGGTGGGCACAATTACTTGTTACTCGGCTTGTACTCGCTACTTGATTCGTACTTGGCTCTTAAAATCGAGTACTCGTTTTGTCCAAGTCGAATATCAAGTCGTTTGTTTCAATTACTTGCAAGTACAATACAAGTACCAAGTACTAAAATAAAAATAACTACTTGGCGTTCTTGACTTGTTACTACTGATTTATTACTTGATTTATTACCCGTTTTTTATTTTTAGACAAACAAATCTCTAAATTATAATCAAATTACTTGTTTATAAAACAAATAAATTAAAAGTGATATATTATATAAATATTTTAAAGTTTTCTTTTAATTTTATATTTATCATATATCGATTTAAAAACATATGAAAAGTAAATAGATATTCTTTATTAAAAATTGTTTAGATTATAATTATAACTAACTAAATGTTTTTAAATTCATATACAAGATTTAAGTAGCAAACGTTAACAAACTTTTATTAAATAATTTATAAATAATTATATAATCATTTATAAATTAGTTGAGATGCAACAAGTAGTAAAACAGAGCAAGTACTTGCAAGTATACCATTTTTAGCAAGTACTCGTTTTTAATAAACCAAGTACAAGTCCAAAATTTTATTACTCGAACAAACCAAGCCAAGTACCAAGTAAGCCAAAAATGGCAAGTACTTGGCTTGTGCCCACCCCTAATTGGTATTTCTAATGGTAGAGAGAGAGCATGGTTAGGATCGGAAAAACAAGTCAAATGCAAGACTTCTCCAATAGCAAACAGTAACGGTCCTAGGCAGAAGACATGAAAGCAAGCTTCCGGCTTGTAAAAGTATAAAAAAAAAAATTAATTATTTTCATTATTTCCTCTAGTTCAGTTGGTTTAAAATTGTTTTGATCAACCAAAAAGTGATAGGATTGAATCTTTTCAACATCATTTTGAACTATTATTTTTTACAAGCCCTAAAAATTTTCTGTGCTTCCCACCCATAGTTTTTTTTGGCTTTCTCAGGGTCAAGGCCTGATAGCAAAAACACCATTAGTGGTGTGGTATTTCCATAAACTAGCTAATCAATTTAATATAGGTACTATTTTAATATGATTAAAATTAAACAAAAAAGGAAAAATAACTATACATCATTTGACACCTAATGTTGTGAGTACCTCACCATCCTTCTAATGTTTCTTCAGGATAAAACGATTCTCAGTTTTCTATTCTCTCTCTATCTTTTTTAATTGTTAAATAATTTAATCGTTGAAAATTGTGGAAAGAAATCCAAGAGCTGCTGCGGATGCTCTTAGTTTAATTGTTGGAAATGGAAAGATAAAACTATGAACTGTACTACGGAGAGAATGATTGTGATGGTCTAATTTGTGCTGTCCTTGCTGAACCCAATACCTTCAACTGTATCCATCATTTAAATACTTTACTGGCCGCTAAAGATGCGCCTATAAATTTGGATGTTTGGTTGAGTTTTATTAATTTTCAAACCAACCAGAATTGCATATATACGCAACATATATAGCATATATAGCTATATTTTGGGTTAGTAAATTTGTGATTCTATGTCGTATTTGTACGTGAATAGTATTGAACTTATAAGTTATATATAGGTTTATAGACACGTATGTATAGATATGACTATATGAGTATATATTATAAGGCAAGATGAATTAATAAGGATCCTAAAAGAATAATTTCTTGACCAACTACACAAAATAAACAACGGATAAAAGTTGGACGTGAGAGATCTAGCTGCATGTACCTTGTACTTGAAGACCCTTATTAGGTGAGAGCTTCATGCTCACTCTCTCTTCCACAATTTCCTTATCTTTCTATATTATAATTTCTATTCAATTTGATAAGTAATTCTATCTAATTATTTACTTCCCCAAAAATAATCACATAAATCTCTGAAATTTTTAACTGTTTCTTTTGGTAAACATGTTCAAATTTTTTATAATTGTTACAAATCACCGAATTAAGAAAATTACGTTAGATAAATATGTGCATCTGACAGAAAATGATTTTTAATATCGATCAAAGATGAGGCAAAACTGTGTTAACTCATTGTCTTTTAATCGCATGCATGACGAAAGAAAGAAGAAAAAATAAACCTACTCTTTGTCTTCTTCCTTCATCTTTTTCCTCCTTAGAATAGCCACAAGTCATCCTTGTCTCTTGATATATTTTCATATATAAATACAACCAAAACCCTAATCTCATAAAAGTTGTCTGTCTGATTTTTCTCCGTCCATGCAAGTAAGCCCAATCTCTCACCCTACACATGAGATAATATAATACACATAAATTTAATTATTTGCTTCTATGTAATTCCTCCTTAGATCATTTTTTGGTAATACTCTTTAGATCTTTTTTAGGGATAAAGCGGTTAAGAATCTTAGGATCTATGTCCTCTTGTTTTCTTATAAATGGTGAAACCTAATTACACACGTTGATATGTATTTGAAGCAGATATAAAAAGGTGTTCGAATTTAGAGTGAAGTAAACAAGATATTAATTAAATGGAACAAGGAGATCTTCAGCTGCAGAAGAAAGAAGAAGAAGGTCTGCCTCCGGGTTTCAGGTTTCATCCAACAGACGAGGAGCTAATCTCGTATTACTTGGTTAATAAGATCGCTGATCAAAACTTCACCGGAAAAGCAATCGCCGACGTTGATCTCAACAAGTCAGAACCGTGGGAACTTCCTGGTAGGTTAATTACTCCCAATCTTTGTACACACACAAAAATCACATGAATATACTGTATATCTAATCTATAGATCTCTATATCAATTTTTGACTGGATATATATATATATATATATATGTAATTTTGATTTAATCTTGTATATATATATATATATATATATTTATTTATTTTGTGACAATGTTTATATTTAATATTGATAGACAAAACTTAGTAAGATTTAATTTCGTTAATTTAAATTTATGCAAAACAATACGTGTCTATATATGTGCATGCATATCTTATGTATGTATCTATGTTGCTTCTACATTAAAGCATATGGTATATATACATAAAATGACGCCAGAGATAAATTAATGAGTTGTGTAGTGTTACGAACATGTCTTATGTGTATGCATATGTTCATATGTATTATGTACACATAGATATGCATGTGTACTGATAATAGAGAACATAATGTGATAAAAGTTATAAGACCCAATATTTATTTTTTAGTATTTACAAAAATGCGATAAAATCATGAATATATTCTTGATTACTAATCGTAGTCGGTTAATATAGAACAAATTGCACGTTGTTTGTAGATGTTAAATATCCCCTCACAATCTAAAATCTTTTGGTGTTTGCTGAACTAATAAACGTGTGGTCTTAACATTTGACCCAAAGAACAAAATACTTATAAACATGTGGTTGGAGAGGGCTAGATGCATTTTGAGTTTCGGTCATAAAAGAGTTGTACGCATATCTTAAAAATAAATGAAGTTTCATAACAAACTTTGATTACATCAACGGAAGTCATGCATTCACTACCGTACGTACGTTAATTTCCCATCTACTCATTTTGTCTTTAGTTTATCCATAATCCAGTAAATAAACAATATATTTTGTCTCTTTATTTCTTTGTTCTAAACTGGATAGATTTTAAGTAAACAAAATTTTCAACATTCCGTAATATTTAACGGAGTTTTACACTGTATCAGATAACACATAAATAATGTACATAAGCATGGAATACCGATGTAGAGCTTATAACTAGTGATGTTATTTGCGAAAACCTAACAAAAATTTAGTGTATTTGACTTAACACATTACTTACGAACTTTCTGTTTGAGTAAACTCTTGATAGAGAAGGCGAAAATGGGAGGAAAAGAATGGTATTTTTTCAGTCTACGCGACCGAAAGTACCCGACGGGTGTGAGAACAAATCGTGCGACAAATACTGGGTACTGGAAAACCACTGGAAAAGACAAAGAGATATTCAATAGCACAACCTCGGAGTTGGTCGGGATGAAGAAGACATTGGTCTTCTACAGAGGAAGAGCTCCTCGTGGGGAGAAGACAAGTTGGGTCATGCATGAATATCGACTTCACTCTAAGTCCTCCTATAGAACCTCCAAGGTAACTTATCAACCTATACTACTATTATTCTTACCAAATTATACTCATTTATGATCATGATAATTGACTTTTGGTAACCAAGTCATTTGGAGCTAAATTATTTAATTTTACGACATGTTGGTTTATATTGAATATCTACAGTAGCTCTGGTCTTATAAACAAGACTGTATCCATGTGCTGAAAAGTAACACAATCTATTTGTTATGGTGTTAATAAAATCCTATATAGGTAGCTAGTAAACCTGGTAAACCTATATATATAGCACTCCTCTCTTTTGCTTTATTCACCAAGTATTTATATATAAATTTACATGCATATATATCATGTTCATGATTCATGATTTTAATAATCGAGTTCTTGCTCCTCTTTTTACAATATTTACAGTGGCTAAGTTGTATGTTTAGCGTGAGGACATAATCCTCATCTGCACAAGAAGATTGTGGATATAAATTAACTCAATATAGTTGTTATGGTCACAAACTTGAACAAGTTGTCTCACAAGAAGAATGTACAATCTCAATATTCTCAACTTCTTTTGTTTTTCCATGGTCTAATGTATAAATGCAGCAAGACGAGTGGGTAGTGTGTAGAGTGTTCAAGAAAACAGAAGCAACCAAGAAGTACATAAGCAATAGTAGCAGCAGCACAAGTCAGCATCACCAAAACCAGACAAGAGCCTCAATACTATCAACCAACAACAATAACCCTAATTACTCATCAGACCTCCTTCAACTCCCACCACATCTACAACCGCACAACAGCCTCAATATCAACCAAACCCTCATGGCTAACGCAGTTCATCTAGCCGAACTCTCTAGAGTCTTTCGTGGCTCCACAAGCAGCACTATGGATTCTGCTCATCAGCAGCTAATGAGCTACAACCACATGCCTGTCTCAGGGCTCAATCTCAACCTTGGTGGTGCATTGGTCCAGCCGCCACCTCCCACTGTGTCGCTTGAGGATGTTGTCGCCGTTAGCGCTTCATTCAATGGCGAAAACGGGTTTGGTAATGTGGAGATGAGCCAGTGCATGGACTTGGATGGATACTGGCCATCTTATTGACTACGAGTTATCACTTTTAAAAAATGGTCTTTTGTTGTTGGTCTGAAGAAGAAAGTTTCATTTACAGGTTGGTAATACCTTTTGTTTTTGTTTATGTTATTGCATTTGTTTAGCTGTTCAAGGAAAAGATTTAAGAATCGAAGACTATATAGACTGGGTCCGGTATGGCTCCATCACCTACTTGCTTTGGAGGCTCAACAATAGAAGGTTTGGGTGAGATTTATTTTTTCCTTTTTGGGTGTCTAATGACATCTCGCTTTCCTTTGTATGTTTTTCTGGCTTCATTTAGTTGTCCAACTCTGATCAGTGTTATATAAAAAAAATATAGTCAAACCATTTATGGTCTGGCCATCCTTTTTCTTCCAAATAAAATAAAGTTGTATCTTTTTTTTTGTCAACAAAATAAGGTTGTATCTTTTCTCCTCTTTTTGTCAACTAATTTTTTTTTTTTTAAACATTTGATGAAAAACTGTGGTTTTTAAAAGCAAGAAAGTAACTAAATTTGGAAGCAAACACAAACAACAAACAATTAAGACCAACGTACCGTACTAGTAGAATCGTAGATGCCAAAAACTTATCCACATGAGTTACAAAAATACACAAACCAAGACTTTACTTGTAGTTACTCTTTACATATGTCTAACCTTCTCTGTATTGCAATTGGATACCTCTAATATGTGCTGTTTAGACAACATATGCATGTCGCTGAGACACAAAGAGACCGCATCAAAACCTGTCATTACCTGCAAGAGTATAGAAGATGATTATGAAACAGTAGACACAAAAGGCTTTATGATCTTCTAACCTCAGTCACTAGAACTGCTAATCATTTCTACACTACATGAGTAAGTGTTGAAAGCGTTCTGTATTTAACAAAGGTGCTAAGTGCATCTAGGATTTGGAAACCGGAACACAATATCCAGAGACTCAGTCTATGTCACAAGTAAGTTATGGCTCAGCCTATTGATTCATTCAATAACAACAGATTCTTTGTTCATGCTCTCATGATCCGCCACAGACGACAAATACAGCAGAAAGAAAGACGCACCATTAATATTTCTGAGTGGAAACAGCACAAAACATGTTACTTCACTTGTCAGAATGATCCCTTTTGGCCCTACGACGACTATGGCGATGAGAGTGTCTAGTAGGCTTCCTCGTCTTTGTGCTGCAACCGAAGATTATAACAAATAAACTATATGTCAATTGGTGGAAATCAAGTATGGAGTATCTTTATAAGCTACAGAGAAATGTACTTAAAAATTAAAATTAATTTAGTTATAAAAGACTTGCCAGAAGAGAGAACAGAGGAATTTGTACACTATGAAGATGGGTAATGCCAACAAAGCAGATGCCTACAGTGAGCAGTTTTTCAATTTCTAAGTTAAGTGAGGAAACAAGTTAGAAGCATGTTTGTCTTAAGATTGCAAGACAGAAAACATACTGCAAACCAAACGAACTCTTTGGTAGCAAAAGGTGCCGCCAGCTCATGGCTTTTCAATTTTCTTTCGATATTGGCTTGAACCTTGAAAGATAGACACAGTTATTAAAGCTTAAGAGCGAACAGTCTTCCAGAAATAGCATTACTGCTATCTGGAGTCTCTATTATATTAAACGCAGTGCCTCTGATTCTGACCTGATGGTGATACGTTGTGGCAGATTTTAGAAACTCTTTGTAGTAGTGAACAGCCTTCTTTGTGTATGGCTTCATGGTAGCTCTCACCTTATCGACATGTGGTTTTGTCGCCGTGACTACTTGATCAACGTATGGCTTGCTAAACTTTTTAGCCTCCTGGAGAGATCATAGACACATTAAGCAGATATTGTCACCAGTTGATGAGCTGAGAGACTATTTTCCATGTAATACTTTTAGCTATATAATAAAAATATATCACCTGGTAATAGGGATCTACATGTTCTTGAAACTTGACAATATGTGGAGTAACTGCAACCTTGGAAGCAAGGTAAGCCTCTTTCGCTTTGGTAGATAGTGTTTGTACGTGTGGCTCAACATGTGTTTTGACAGTCTCTTTCATGGCTGGAATATATTTCTGCAAAAAGAATTCCATAAGCATAAAAATACGAGCCTCGCCAGAGTAAAAAAATTACATAGCCTTTAATCTGCTTACAGTTTTAACATTAACCATGTGTGGTTTAGCCCACTTTTCAGCTTCAGTCTTTGCTTGTGTTACCTGATAGATAATCAAACTTAATAAGGGATAACATTGCTCATTAGACCTCTATCGCCACTTAACTTGATAATACAATACCTTTTGTGTTACTTTCTCCATAACCGGTTTCCCGTGGGCATCCCAATGAGTCCCAGCAACAGTCTGAGTTGAAGAATTGCCCAAGTAAGTTCGTTTAGAAAAGTTTCTTTTGATAAAACTCGTAAAGGTAAACGGTAATAGTCTAACCTGGAAATGAATCCAGTGTACAGCGAGCCAATGGGGAAGCCAAGAGGCATGAACCTGGTCAAATAAACAATTCAAGTCTTAACATTCTTCTCAAACTGACCAACTAACAATGAGGAGAACTCAAACACTAAACAAACACGGTATGGAGAAGTTACCTCCTGGAGTTCTCTAGCCTTTGTGGCTGCTTCATGCCTCAGGCGCAACATTTCTTCCTATAATTATGTATTCGTAAGAGTCAAACGTGATGGCAGAAACCGAAAGTGTTAGGGAACAGAAAACTTAATGTAACAGCATCATCAAACCTCAGAAATCTTAAGAGCACGCTCAAGTTTCCGAATTTTTCCCTTCTGCTCTTCTTTTGTCTTGTGAAGCTGCAGAACTATCTTGTTAATATTGGCATAAAACAAACGCACATATAATCAATCTATCAAGCAACTTGCATACAACTACAAATATCTAATTTCAAATCAAACACAAGTATGGAAGTGCAGACATCAACCCTTCAAAGAAAAGATCATAAGACAGAACAAGCCTTATAGGAAATAATGGAGAGTGGCAAAAGCTGACACTGAATATAAACGGTGAACAAAGTCAAGCTAAAGCTGAAACAAAGTCGATGAATCACTTTTCACTACCATTTACGCTATTTAAATGATCCTAAGCGGAAATAAACTATGATGATAATGTGTGTAGAGAAAGAAGAAAACGGAAGGAAGTTAAGAGCATACTCTCTCCAGTCTTGAGTTCAATTCCTTAAGCTTTTTCTCGGCTTCACTTCTCCGAGCTTCTGTAGATTCTTTCTCCTTGTTCTTTTGCTCCAGAAAGTTCCTAAGCACCTCAACCTGAATGCAGCAGATCAAAATTCTGAATCCAATTTGCAAATGAAAGATGATTCCTCATAAAAGATCTCACCTGCTTCTCTAACTCAGTAGCCCTTGTTTGAGCTTTTTCCAACAGTTGCACAGAATCTGATGAACCCTTTTTCTGTACACAAGTGAAAAGAAAACAAAAAACAATCTAAGAAGACTCCAAACTGAAAGCAAGAAGGTTTTTAAAGATACACACGAGACATACCCTGAGCGAAGAGAGCTGAGTCTCCAAGGAAGAAAGCATGTCCTGACTCTCTTGGAGAAGTTTATCCTTGTCTGCTACTAACTCTTCTCTCCCTTTAACTTCTCTGCTTTTCTCATCAATTTCGGATTCTTCACCCAAAACAATCATAAAACAAAGCTACAAGCTTCAGTGTAGTTCGATACTAAGAATTTTAAAAAATCATAATTGAGTAACAGTTAAATTCTGAGGTGGAGAATTAGAATTATCTTTCAACAAAAGCTAACCTAGGGCACGGATTTTAGCATTAAGCTGATCAAACTTAATCTCAGAAGCAGATGTCGGTTCTTGACCGGCATCGGAAAAGACACCGGTGGTGAAAACGAAGGCGAGAAGTAGTAACAGAGCCACGAGCTTCGCGGCCGCCATGTCTGAAACTCGAGAGAGAGAGTGAGTAACAAAAAGAAAAACAGAATGATGATCGCTGGAAGAGGATCTTTGTTTTTGCTTGATGAGGAGGCGAAGTGAAGAGAACATGAAATGTGGTTTCCTGGTTAACACGTGGCTTTTTTTTCGAGATGATTATTATTTTAATATATCAAAAGAAAACTTACCTCTGAAGGTAAAGAGAGTAAAGACACTCTGTCTGTGACGTCGGGATACACAATTTCATTCCTATACTTTTTTACTTTATTTTTTGGGAGACTGTATGTAATATACTCAAAACTGGCTCAAATTGGTGAGATGACCTTAAAAATCTAAATCCACATGATTAGTATCCTTTCAGGGCAACTCCATTAAAGGATTATAAGGGGATCACACGTTTTCTGAGACAAAAAAGTGATTTTCAGGGCAACTCCATTAAGAGATTATAAGGGAGGATCACACGTTTTCCGAGACAAAAAGTGGTGAACATGTATTATGGGGGATGACTCGGAGGAGTTGAGTTCATCACTATTTCGTGGACTCCACGACACGTGGTAATCTTCTGATTATTATTATTTTATTTTTTTTAGAAAAAGCAAATGAAAAAAAAATCACATGGTGAACCTCACAAAGGTTTGCTAATGGGCATGGCCTTGGGATGACGATTTTACGCTTGCTTTAGTCTTCCCAAAATCGACGGTAGGTTTAGGAATAATGTCAATTCACATAGAAAAGAGAATTTGGGGAGGCGTCCTCTGCAACGCGTGTCTGACACCATGAAGCGTCGGAAGCGAAGATCCGCTGTGTAAAGAAGTAGACCGTGTGTAAAGAAGTAGACCGTCTTCGTTATGATGGCAATTGCTTCAGTATTGGCAATTGCTTCAGTATTGAGAATTAAGCTTGAAATTTGAAATGATAAAATCGTTCATTTTTGAGGTTTAAAGTTTGAAATCGAATTATATATGATTTATTTGCAAGTTTAAGACATAAATATGAAGAAAAACGCACAGAAAATTGGTGATCAATAAATGTAAAGATATGGTGGCTCTGAATTTTTTTCTGCAGAACCCTAAAATGTTTGAAGAAGAAGATGACAAATTATGAATATGCCATTAATAACAAATATGACATATAATTGGTTAGTCGTTAAATTTCATGTTAGTGCGCAACATTGATCGGTAGCTACCATTATTACCGTTAACAACGACTTAATTGCTACATGAAAAACGAATATTAAGCAAATTACATAAAGAAAGGCTTCGTACTAGATGTGGTTCCTCTAAAACCAATGACTTGGAGAGGTAAATTTTGGCCTTTAACTTTCCGTCTTATGATAATAAGCAAGGTTAACGACTAACTATGGATGCTGCTTTTAGATTTGCGTGGTAGAAGATATCTTCAGGTGCTCGAAGAAGTGTTGATGATCATCTTCACGAGTTACCGGTTATTTGTCTGTTTAGCTGCTACTGATGGAATTGCTCGAAGGCGTTTGGAGTCAACTAACAAGGGAAAGAAAAAAATTACAGATCTAGTAACTGGTGGAAGTCAGTTCTTGAATTTGCAGATGGGTTCTGGTTCTGTGGATCCAGGCTTGGGTAGGGTTTTGACATGGGGCCAAGTTTTGGTGAGGCTGAGGATTGTATGATACTTGGTAAGAAATCACTTAGTTGTTATGTTTAGTAATATCAGCTAGTACATACATTTAGACTGTTAGACATCACTTAGTTGACTGTTATTAAATCTATGTTAGTCATTTTCATTTTTGAAGACTATATTTGTGATAAAAACATTTTTAGTGATATCGTAAGGTATTTTTCTATTTCTAATATATTTATATATTATGACTATAATTATCATTTATTTTTTAATGAAATTTATTTTGGTCATTTTTACCATTATGCATGCTTGTGATAAAATAAATCTAATCTAGGTATTCTTAATTATAGTTTAGAAAACATAGTTTGAACTTTTTGGATCGTTAAACATAAATTTATTACTTAGTTTATGCATTTTTAAATACAAATATCTTTCTAACTTTTCTCAAAAAATATCATTTTAACTTGCATTTTATGCGAATCTTAATCTTATTTTATAACAAATACAAACAAATGTGTCACAATGTATTTATTTGTAATGTTTAATAAAAAATCTTAATATTAATGGGGTGGGGGGGGGGGGAGATTATTCAAGAGATTTATACATCTCCTATATATTAAAAAGGTAACATCACAACATTCTAGTTATGACATGTGTTATCACTAAAATGTTTTTCAAAGTTTCTAAGGAAAATTCTTGGTCCATATAAATATATAATATTTTTTTTATTAAATTAACAATAAATTATTAGTAATGCTCTTCATTCTTTCCTTAAATAAAAATAACGGAATTACCTAATATATTCATACATATATATATATGACAATTAATGATTTGAATAAGAAAAAAAATTGATAAAAAATTATGTATATTCTATTCTTTTTGCTAAATTTATATTATAAAAATTATGTATATGTTATATTTTGAATTTTTTAAAATGACTATAAATTGATAAAACATTTAAAATTCAACATAGATTTTTTTTGATTAATAATTTTTTTTATAGCAAAATACAAACGATTATACATTCAATGAGTAGAAAATACCATTTAACAGATATTAAGAATATATATATATAATTTTCTAATGACATTTAAATTAAATATATACCATTTAAAATATAGAAAGTTTTTAATTTCACAATTGCATTGAACTATTGAGAACTTAATATTTTAGTTTAAAACTCTGAATTTATTTTTTAAAATGATTATAAATTACTATAAATATTAAATGTCTCATATAAAGATTATGTTATCAATGGTTTAACAAAAATGTTTAAAATTTTTGTTATAAAATATACAAATGATCATACAACCATATAATTATAAAGCTTTACTAAATAGATATACACTTTAAAAATATAATATATATATGTTAATATAATTTTTTTTTAATATACTTATATAAAATAATTGTAAATAAACAAATGTGAATTTTTTATTTATCTGATCATGCTAATTTAATTATATACATAAAATTTACTAATTTTCAATTATTCAGTATATATTTATATATTTATTTTATGTTAAAACACAGTAGAAATAATAAACATAAAATAATTTTATATACAATTCTCATTCTGTGTAAGACGTGGTTATTAACATAGTATAGGGCACCTCCACTGAAGGTTCAATGAGGGGGTTTTACACAAAAACTTAGAAAAAAAAAATATAATGAAAATCATGAATCTTTCTCGCTGGGGATCACTGGGGTGAATCCGGATCAACATTGTTTCGCGGTCCCCGCGGCACGTGGCGGCCCACGATTGATCCATTATTATAACTTTTTTTTTATAGCAAACGAAAAAAATAATAATTTTTTTGTCTTCTGAACCTCCCCAATCGGTTCACTGATGGGGGTGCTCTTATATTTCTATGGTGTTGCATGAGGAGATATAAAATTTATGATGAGATTTTGCGGAAACAAGATGTCGATATGTTGAACCGAATCTCACGAACCCGATATTGGACCCAATTCATCCAACAACCAACCAACCTTTTAAATTACTCTCGTCTCATCTTATATGCAGTACCCCTCCGCAGTACCATTGGTATGTTCATCACTTTTATAATTGTAAGCCCCGTTAGAGTAACGAAAAAAAGATTGTACTGATAATTTTTTCATATTTTATTGCTGAATAATCATTCACTATCAATCATATAACAATCATGAAGGTCGTTACTGAATGTGGCACGTATAGAAGAAGATCCGGAAATACAAAACCAGCTGGTTTTAACAAACTAATTAGCTGATGAAATTCTTGATTATTCATTAGTTTCAATCATTTGGGTTGTTTTAAATGGTGGTTACTCGAATTATCGGTGAATATCTTTTTCTATAGAATTCGTGAAGTATAATATATAAATGTATTATTATATTTATCACAAAACGTCTTCTTTTTGTTTAAACCTCTATAAAACTGTTTCAAGTTCTGTATCTAAAATCTCTCTGTGCTTTCGAATCTGCTAATACATTGGCTTGTTGCAGGAACAAAACAAAACAAAAACAATCAAACATATATACCTCTTTTACAAAAAAGAAGAAGATATCAACAAGGAAATTAGAAAGTTCAATGTGTTCTTCTCCTTTAGTAAGCTGACTTGCTAGATATTAAGAAAACAAATTATAGTAATCATTCGACCAGATAAACTTCAAGAATGTTCTTAAGAATTTTTTTATACGTATTATACACACAATCACATGCAACGTAACCACAGTAACGTGTATTCCCGAAATGAACCGTCACCGTATTGTACGGGACATACGATTTTTTTGTTTTCTAATTACAAAATAATCTTATGGAGTCCAGTTCAAAAATTAAAATAATCTTATCGAGTCGAAATATCAATACGTATACATTACATTTAATATAGTGTAATGTTAAGTGCTCCCCACTAATTAACCACCGGCACATGCATACATCACCACCGTCAGAACTTTTAATTCGGGAACACTTTCTTGAAACTTTTTAATGCTCAAACAAAAACCAGTTTAATCAAAAGAAATTAGTGACTGAACTCCATCCGTTAACTAACATTTTAATATTTACACGGTGCTGATTCTGGGCAATGTATACTCTCTATTTAAAATGCATGATATTTTAAAAGATGTATGATATTTTAAAAATGTATCTTCTCTATTAAAAGAGAAGTACCATTTATATCTACTACAAAAAGTCATGTTGGACTATCTCATTAATATGACATATTTAAGTATTTATATTAATCAATCAAATATATATAATTGGATGAATATTTTAATAATAATAGGATATTAGTAATAAATTTGTTGAGAAAATATCTAACAAGATCTTACTAAGAAGTTTAANTAAGAAGTTTAAATATTTTTATAATATATGCATTATTTAATTTCGTGATTAATATATATAAATATTTATATTAATGTTA